TTCCCTTTTTTGTTTAATAAAAGATTTAGATAGCAAAAATCTAAGAGGACAAAGATGGTGTATTTTGGAGTGTATATAAAATGAGGGGTTAATTGGGAAATTGCATAAAGAAGAGGCAGGAAATGGCCATAAATGCAGTATCTATTTCAGTTTCAGTTGCCGTTCATTAATTATTACTTTATTGTTATTATTCACACTCAATAAATAGCATTTTTTTTGAAGCATCATTAAATAGCATTAATACTTTGAAATTAATTCTTCCATCAATTCTCTATGAGGTTAATTTTTTAATAAATGACATTAATGTGCGGAGCCAAAGGGAAGTTCTAAATACTATTTTGGTACCTGAAAAAGGAAATAATAATTATTAATATCCTAGCTTCGTCTTAAAAGAAAGAAAAAATAAACGTATTTAGAATTTTATACCTAATTTCCATTTTAATTCGTCCCTAAAATAAGTTTCATTTTCATTCTACGTCATTCTTTTACAACAAAAAAATACATAGGTATGTCTTTTTATTTTAATTTTATTAATAAACATCTATGGTGGACAACCATTTGAAGTTACATGTGTAACAATAGTAAGTAATGGGTCGGGTTTCTGAATAAATTTTACTTTCATAATAATTAATGAAAAATTTAGAATAATTACTAATTGAAATATAGTTTTACATAGTTGATTGTTGAGATCTCACTCCAACAAAGCATTTGAAAAAGAATATTTGAATATGCAACAAACATGACCAAATAAATTATGTATGGAACTAAAATAAGATTGAACAAGAAAAAAAGAAAGTATAATTAATGTGTATAATACATTGAATTTTACATAATCTGATAGGATATGATTGGTAGTTATTAAGAGCTCATTTGGTAGCATTTTCGTTCCTTGTTTTCTATTTTTTTTTTCAAACTTTGAGAAATATAAGCGTTTGGTAACTATTTCTTTTCTCGTTTCTCATTTTTTAAATTGTGTAGAAATTTTAGAAACAATAAAATCAAATTTCTTATCTATTGTTTCCTGTTTTTGTTTCAATTTTGTTCAAAATATAAATAATAAATTTTTAAAGTAAATAAAACGTATAATATTTGAATATTTAATTTACTTGTAAAAGAATATATCTAATTTGAAAAACTAATTTTCATATAAAATTTTTATTTTTAAAAAGAATTAAAAAAAACATGTTTTGTTTTTTTTCAAAGAAACAGTTACCAAAAGTAGTTTTATTTTAGGAAATATATTTTTGATCATTGAGATTTGAAGTAGTAATCTATTTGGTCCTTAAATTTTCAAAATGAATATTTTTAGTCGCTGAGATTTGATGTAGGTGTCTCTTTGGTCCATTATGTTTCAAAATGAACATATTTAGTCCTTCAAGGTTTGATAAATAGTTCTAAAGGGTAATTTGATCGTTAATTGATTGCTTGTGGTTTTCTCTCTTCCTCCCCCTTCTCTTTCTCTCCAATCTCTATCTTGCCGCCATCCCTGACCAACCACTCGTTGTCACCGCACTTTCTCCATCGTTGTATCTTTGTCGTCATCGTGCTTTGTCCTTTCCAGTCGTCTGGTCCTCATCCTCTCATCGATGTGAACGACGTGGACGCGCGATACATAGAGAAAATGCGACAACGACCATGGCGGTGGTGGGTCGACGGTGGCTACAATAACATTGGCCAGAAATAAGAGAGAAATACAGGAGGAAGAGAGAGAAAATCACAAATAGTCAACTAACGCTCAAAGAACCGTTTAGAACCTTTTTTCAAATTTAAGGGGCCAAGGGTTGTTCGTTTTGATCGTGACTAAATAGACACGTATTCAAAACCTCAGGACCAAAAGTGTATATTTTGAAACTTCAATGACCAAATAGATACTTACAAACCTTAATACCAAAAATGTATTTTTTTTCTTTATTTTTCTTCGTGGAAAAGAAAAATGGAAAATAAGAAGTAAGAAGCAAGAAGGTTACCAAACTGATTAAATAACTGTTTATGAGGTATAATATCAGCTAGTATTTTGATGGAAAATCTGAGAAAGATGACTTAAAAGTACAATTTTTGAAGTCATGAATTGATTAAAAGAAAAGGCTAATTCTTAGCATAGGCAGGCACAGATAAAAAAGAATTTTATTTTTATTAACTCGTTTTATTTCATGGTATTGCCATGAATTTGGTCTCTTGTGCATTTATGTAGTTGTATTTGTTTCCTAAGTTTCCATTTAAAAAAAATTGATCAAGTTAAAAAAAAAGAAAAACAACTGAATTAAATTAATTATATCTTTAGTCTCTAAACTTTCGAGGTTTGTATTTATTTAGTCCATATACTTAGAGAAAAATTTACGAGTCCCTAAATTTTTTAAAGTTATGTGTTATTGGTCCTATGTTTTAATTTATTAGTTCGATGATTATGTTATCTGTTTGAAAGGAAAATAAATACCATTTGTCAGAATTAGAGTTACTCAATCAATAGAAATACCAGAGGAACATAACCAATTGGACGATTTGGTTCAAGTCTAGGTAGCTCGCATCAGAAGCGGAGCTAAGAAACATCCCTATTCGGCCAATTTTTTTCAGGTATGAGCCAACCTTGAAGAGTACTTGTAGACGCAAAAGCAATGAGGATGTTTTCTAACAAGGCGACGCATTTTCGAGCAGTCGGAGAGCTATTGGAGCATTGTTGGAAACCGTCCTCTATAAATAGAATAACGTACTGACTTAGCTTTGGAGTGCTAACTCTGTTTTATAGGTCCTTTTACCTCGGTAACAAAAGTCCGATCTTCGCAACCGAATTTTTTCATTTTCGTGATAAAATCTTATTCAACATCGAAACTAGTCCCAAATCACACCCACCACGTAATGCATAAATAAGAAAATCACAATCGAAAAACTTATAAGTCTATTATAATTTTCTTAAACTATAAGAATCAAATAAATACCACCTTGAAAGTTTATAAATCTATAAAGTAAAAAAAAAAAGGAAGAGAATAGTTTGTCCTTAGAGTTAAAGGACTTAATTTGTAATTTAAAAAAAAATTAAGTAAATTTTGTGTTATCCTAAAATCATTTTTTTAATATCTAGAAAATGAATTTAGTAAAGATGAAGAAAACATCAATTATTTATTCAGTTATAATTAGGCAGGTACCTTACCTGGTCGGGTCGAGAAATTCCCAATTTTAGTGGGGATGAGGTCAAACGGGGTTCTTAATTAAGGTCCTTGGCGGGGATGGAAAGGTCTCACCGCCATCCACGTCTTGTTTAATATTGTGTTAATTTTTATAATTTTTTTATATAAATAATATTAGTTTTTATAATTTTTTTAAAAACATTGTAATTGTATTTAATTAAATCTTACACTATTTCATAAAAAAAAGTTTATAGTTTTTAGAGAATTAAAATATTTAGAAGTCTTTTTGAAAAATTAAAAAATATATATACATACATACATACATCGAGGACGGATTCCTATTGGAGAATCGCCGACTTTGTCCTCACCTCCAAAATTTTGGGAACGGGGTGAGGATGGAGATGCTCCCCCAACTCCACCCCTACCTTGTCCTATTGCCATCCCTAATTTAATTCCTCGATGTATGATTGAGCTCAAGAAAAAAAGTATTGCTTTTAATTAATGCTAAAACTAACTAAAAAATATTAAGTATTGATCATTACATTCCATTCAATTGTGTACCCGATCCCTAATTTTCAAAATGTTTATTTAGCTAATAATATCACACGCTTCATGAACAGAATCAAAAGCATTTTATTTCATACTTAGGTAAATTCAGGGTCTAGCTGTCACATGGATCACTCGTCCAAACACATGTGTTCGAGCTTTAACTTAGAGAAGTCGAAGACGAAGTGAGACTAGCAGAATCACCTATCACCAATCTAATAAGAGCTTAGCTCAATGCCAACCTTGAAAGTAATGGGAAAACATCTCCTACTTCTACCACATGAATAGTAGAAAAGAACTGAATTTTTTTAAAAAAGTAATACAATAAATAAACACAAGAATTAACGTGAAAAATGCAAACAAGATAAAAAACCACGGCCCACAAGAGAAAAAATACTCTCTCAAAGCAAATATCGTTTAGTTAACTAGAGCTGGTATACTACACTTAAAATATTTCAATTAGAATCATTAAAACCCAAATACATGAATTCCTTTTATAGTAGTTGAAACCCAACTCCTTATTGTACCTTTCCCATGTTAGACAACTTCTACTACTTGGTGAACGCATTCTCTGCTCGTATCTTTCCGATGTGGAACAAACTTCGATTCTAATATTTTGCCACCAACAAAAAATTCGCTAACACTAGATACAAAAATCTAAATGATAGGATTACGCTTCCTAAAGCTCCCCTTTAAAATAGCGAAATCCCCCTGCCTCAAATAAACACAATTTTAAATAAAAACCTAAGTTTGTCTCGACACTGACTCCGATTAACTTTGACTTAGGTTTCAAAGTATAGATAGTGGAACACTAACACTGCATAAGTACAATGATCTGCTTTCAGATCATTAGCTCAATTAATTGGAATTCACCTAATGTACTAATGTGTCACCTCGTCCACGATGTCGTCATAAAAAAAAATATATATATATATATGTTTTCCTTTCTAACCAGCATTCCGTACTCTATTTGTTATGATTAAAGTCTAGTAAATTAGTAATGCAGAAAGCAATGTCCTTGTGGTCCCATCGCATCCTGTTCGACACATCGTCAACCATGTCACGACACATCGGGTTCTGAAATTGATATTTACCTGAACGTGCCCATGCCGGAGCCACTGCATGTCTGTTAAAGCCCAAGTGGGCCCTGTTGGGCCAGACCTCCAACTGGGCCAGTTCTGATTCGGGCCCTATACTGAGGCCCACTTTATATTTTCCTCTGAAAAGGCTGCAACTAAAGTCAAGACTTTTGACCAACTTGACTAGCGTGTGGGCTCGCACGTGCGATTCTGTTCCCTAGAAATTTCAAACACGAACCTGGAATACCCGAATACCTCTTTTCCCTTTTAGCCGCAGCTTTGTGATTTTTTCGAAATGCGCCCTCTCTTCCCATTGTTTTCCGATTCCTTGATAAACGATCACTTCGCTGGTTTTGAAATCCACTTTCGATTACGCCATGGATGAAACTCAAGCTCAAGCTCAAGCTCCGGCTCAGCCGGTTTGCGCTCAGGAAGCTCTCGATCTGCTGAATTGCGTTGCGGAGTCACCGTTCGATCAAGAGAAATGCAACCGTCTTCTTCATTCTTTGCGAGAATGCGTGCTCAGTAAGGTACTCATAAGTTCTGTTTAAGTTTCACTAACCTTTCGTGTTCCTTTCGATGTTCATGAAACTCAATCGATGCTGTTTTTTTTTTTTTTGGAATTTTCGAATTAGGTCGTCTAGCATTCTGAATTTGGTTTGTAGAGGGTTTGGATTGAATCGCCATTCACCGAATTGTGAATTCGTGAATATAATTTCTCGATTTAATTTATTATTCGTGAAATGAAATCTAGGATTATTTGTTTTGAATTAGTCATCGAGGGTTCTGAATCGAAGTATTGGAATTTGGAATGATGTTCGACAACTTAGCCTATGGAAGCAGAGCATACGCTGGAAAATCTTATTTTATTCAAATCTTGATTTGAATTCTTGCTTCTGGTTGGCTTTAACTTTTAGTATCATTTTGACAACATTCAGGCACATCAATTCTCTAGTTCAAGTCACCATTTTCTGGTCTAATGTTATTTTCTTTTGCGTTTTTCCGTTTCCTTTGACAGAAAGTGAAGAAGTTCTCTCTGGCCGACGAAGAACAGGCAAAACCATCCAAGAAGAAGGCGTGAAGGAAGTAATGTGAAGACATAGCAGGGTTTGTTCATCTTAAAGCAGGCAGGTTCTGTTGTTATGTATTTGGGGTTTCCATTTCTAGGGGAGATTGTCTCTTTAAATGGAACTGACTGAACTAGAGAATCCCATGTCGCCTTTCTGTGTCCTAGGAATTGAATTCTATCAAAATGATGGCCATTGAATTCCTTCGTCGAATTTGTTCCAAACCAACCCAATAAACTCTCTTTCTGAAATCTGAAACCATTTTGTGTAATTTTATATCGCTCTTTAAAGTTATTTTCTGCCTATTGTTTTTTTTTTCCGAGTACAACAAGTGGTGTGGACATTCGAATTATCTTTTGATCAGAGATAGGTGTCATTTGCTATTGAGCCAAGCTCGTGTAAATTGATTCCTCGGGAGAAAAACATGATTTTGTTGTGAAACTCTTCAAAAGTTGATTATTAGTCATTCATTTTTTAGTTAGAAAACCAGTCCCCTCCTCTCATTGTAATGCTTTCTTTTTGTTATCTTTGAACCTTTTTTTTTCCTTAACAATTATCAACAAATTTGCCCATCTGATTGAGGTAAAAGAAATTATCATTGCATCCATCATTTACAAGTGAAAGTGAAGTTCAATCCATGACATGAATTAACCGTACCAGAAAGAAGAAAAGAAAAAAGCACAATCCCATCCATGATAAAAACTAGTCAGCCACCACCCAGTCACAAAATTCTTTAACCCCCATTTTAGAATCTGCAGCTCTATGAAATGAAATTATTTGTGTGATCAAGTTGAAAAACTGATAGAGAGGTCAGCTGAATGGATAATGTAAGTGAGAACCAAGGCCAACAACATTAATGCATACGCAATCCCTTGATCTATGCTCGTCCCTGCAAATAACATTTATTATTCCGTTAAAATTCATTTGATAATGTTTCCATTTCGTGTTACTTGTTTGAGGAGGTTTTAGAAACTAACCATCGCTAGTAGCAAGGGGTTGGGCTGGAGACATTGACTCGGGTTGAGCATGAGCTTGAACCGGCAAAAAGGCACCCAAAACAAAGGCTACAGCAACAGCAACCAAAATTCCCAATGGGAGGTAATTTCGAACCGCCACTACCATTGTGAAAGAGCTTCTTCTATGTAATGTACCTCAAGGGAAAGCCGGAGCGGAAGAGAGCCGAGCCGATGTCACCTCACCTGGGTTCGGGACCACCGGCCAGACTCCCTTACACGACGATCGTTTGGCTCCACGGCGTCACAATGGCGGTCTGCTTTTTCGCCTAGGCGCTGCATGGCTATATAGTAATACTGGCCAGTCCCGGAGGCATGTAAAATAGTAAATGGCTAGGAGAGAAAAACGGGGTGATTTCACTCTCCATCACTACTTTTCTCTTTGCTGCTTTGAAATGGTCAAATGTCCTGATTTAGATTCTCCTCTGCCTCTCACTCACACCCATGTTTTTCTTTCACAGCTTCTTTCGTCTCTCTTCATCTCTTATTATCCACCATTTTTCTTTTAATAAGGTTAGATTATAAGATCGGTTTGATAACGGCTTCATATTTCTCGATTATGAAATAAGAAACGAATCTATAATTATGTAGAAATTTTAGAAACAAAGTCAAGTTTACTGTTTAGGATTCATGTCGTTCTTGCTTCTCATTTATAATTTTTTGGAAAAACGTAAACCTTTGATAGTGTTATTGTTGTTTTTTAGTTGTTTCGAGTTTTTTTTTTCCCAAGAATATATAAAAACATTATTTTACTATTTTTTACTTATTAAAATGCATAATTTTGGATATTGAATTTGTAAGATTAATTTTTATATAAAACTTTTACTTTTTCAATTTAAAATTTTGGAGACCAAGGATTATCAAATACATTTCTATCTTTTTTTTTAATAAAAAGAAATAGGAAATAGTTATGAAATATAATTTTATTTTTCTTGATTGAAATAGAGGCACAGAAGTTGCCCATTTTAGATTTTTTTTCCTTGCAACTTTTTTTTTCTTTTTGTTTTTATACATAAAATCTCCATATTAGATATATACTTTGAACTAGAATAATGAACTAAACTTTTATCATCCTTTGAAAAATATATTGAAATTGGCTGTTCCTTATAAAAAAAATAATAAATAAAGATATTGAGAGTAAGGAAAACTTTGAATGATCTATATGAAAATATTAGATCATCATTTGGACTTTTATCAATTGAGTCATTACTCATAGATGTTTATAGAGTTATTAGTTAATTTATTTATAGAGTTTTTTTCTGTTAAAAATTGAACATGTTCTATAATTAACTTCAAGATAAGCACTTGATTTTTTCTTTACATTACCTTCATGAGTTACAATTTTAATGTTAAAAAGAAAAGTGAGGTTTTCATAGCAAATCGAAAGTTTACAAGGATATCAAAGGTTTCTTTTTAATCTAAGTATTTTTCTTTTCTTGTTTTTCTTTTTCTTTTTTCTATAGGGATTTCTTTTTACAATATAAAATATGTGTATACATGTGAAATTTAATGGTATGTGACATTTTACCAAATGAATATATTCATTAAGAAATGCTAATACGTGCAACCAAAAAAAAAAAGAAAAAAACAACAAACAACAAAGTGGGAGCGAGAGAGACGGTAAGAAAGAAGAACTTTTCTATTGACTGAATTGAAAAAAATTATTTTAGTTCTTATAATCATTTTTTTTAATATTATATTTTTTTTTCCTTGAGTAGGTGGGAGATCGAACTCGAGATATATGCCAATTACCACTGAACTATTGAAATCAAACCTAAAATTATATATTTTTTTATGCATTTATATAATCAACCTCACTAGATTAGATGATGAGTTTCCAAATGGTTAGGAATGTTTTTTTGCTAAATAATTAATGAAAATACTCACTATAAACATTAAAATAGTACCATTTCTCGCCAAAGCGAATATAGCTCACAAGTAATTGGCATATATTTCAAATCAAAAGGTTGTGAGTTTGATCTCCTACCTCATATGTTGTACTAAAAAAATACTACTTTGAACCCAATAACTTAAAGATATTCCGTGACACAACACGTCAAAACAAAGATGCATTATTATTATTATTATTATTATTATTATTATATTTAAAGGAAGAAAGCTGCATAAAATTCAATGGCATTGGATACAATGTTAATGCATATATGCCTTGGACGAAAGGGAACACGTAATTTTCACATTAAATGCAAAATACCTACTTAAATACGACTGTTTTCTATTCAACAAAGATTGATCCAAATACATAAATATTTTGAGCTATCTTCTCATATTTAAAATGTAGGCCAATTATAATATGGATAATCATATGAATGAATTTGAATGGTGATATTAATTTTAAATAGTTTCTTTATTCATAATTAAGAAATTTCAGTTATGAAAAAAGGCTTTGATTTTCAAAGTAAATCACTGGCCTTTTCTAAATTGTATAACACAACTCCTTAGATGTTTAATATTGACAAAAAGGTAAAAGACTCACTTTTATAGGGATGTTATATAAAAATACCAATGTGGATGAATAATATTTTTTTTTTTTTTAAAACAAGGAGATAAAAACTCAAGGATATTCCTTGACGTCCCAAGCCAACCAAACTATTCTTCTTCAAATATGACTCTTCTCGGATATTTAATTATTTTCATATCATAATGATATTTGGATGAACATTTATAATAATTATGGACATTTTTTTTTCCTGATACTTCATCAATATTTTCTCACGTCCCCAAGAGATAGTTGCATGGTAGCTTGGGGCTTCAAGGAATATCCTTTAGGTCTTGGGTTCAAGTCAAGCAATAATCTCTTGTGTATATATGGATATAGAAGCCTCTTACGTATGTACGGATATAGAGACAGTACGCATACTTCCAAGTATAGGGACATAAAGGCTAAATGGTCGTCGACTCAGGGTATGCGTTGCATCCTACATTATATTAATGTTAACATAAAAAGCGAGACTATGTATGTGAATTTTAAGCTTTTAAGTCACATATATGTAGGTATCAAGTCGAAAATGAACGATATAAAAAATACTTCATTGAAAGTTTAAAGACATAAAACATAATAAGATTTAAATATTACATTTATTGTGGTATAATAACAAAGTTTTAACAATACTTGGCTGCTTACGAGGTGAGAATCAAATCTTATCTCCACCATGCTCGGACATTTAACAACTCTTTTTATTAAAAGAAGTTACTAATTTGTTCCTTCCTATCTCTTAAATGTCAAAAATGGTGGACAAAAATTGTGGTCACCAATAAGGAGCCAAGTAGGTATCTTTCAATATTCTTGGATATACTTAGTGGTTTCACCTACTAAAAAACTTAAAAGAAACATTCTTAACTTTTTCATATGAACGTACTAACACAAAACACAGAGTAGCTAACAGTAAGTAAACTGATGATTTAAGGTTTGAAGTTTCTCATAATCAATATTGATCACAAGGCCAGAGGAAGGCTCCCATGGCAAACTTCCGCTTCTGGGCGACGTCTCCGACTATCGGGAGGCCGTATTCTTTGAGAAGGCAGTCCAGTTTCCACTCCGGCATGGCCTCATAGTCACTCTTCTTGTACCTTGGGTAGTGAAGAGGCATCTGAAACTGATGAAACTGCTTGCTCACTCGCTGCTGCTGCTGCTCCACCCCACCCATCATGCCGATTGTCTTCTCCGGCAGCACCGTCATTGATCTTGGTCGGGTCTCTCTGCTAGATCTTCGTTTGGTTTTGTTTGCTTGTCCTGCAAATGCAAATGGTGGCGGAAGGCTGGGTTTTTATAGGCATCATGGGGGAGAGAAATGAATTGATTGAGTTTAAAGTAGGTGTGGTAGCGAGGCTGCATTAATACTCTGGGTTGAAAGCGAAATATTTCGGTTATATTACATTCCCCGAAGTTTCACGATCAAACAAATAATTTAGTCGAAGTGTTCAAGTAAGTGATAATTGACATATATCTTCAATTAAAACGTTGTGAATTTGATCTCCACTCCCACATATGGTAATAATATATATATATATATATATATATATAATTTAACCTTTCTTAAAAAAACATTTAATTTAACCTTTTTGTACATATAGGTTTATATTAAAGATGAGGAGCGAATATTCAAATTAAACATGAAATCCTACCAAAAATAAGCATGTCCACGTTTTTTTTAAGGAAACATGGCTGATTTACTTATAAGCAATCAAAATAAGAATGAATCGGAATGAAATCAATCAAAATGAGAATGTTATTATTTGATGTTGTTTACTAAAAATTTTATGGAATCAAAATAAAAAACATTCCACGGTTTGGAATTGAAATAGGAATGAGATATATAACAATTACCAGTATAACTTTTCTTATTTATAGTTAATTACAAATATATTATTATACTAATATTTTTAATTAAAATATTTAATAAATTTTAATTTATTTTAATTTGTTATTATTTTATTGCATTAAAAATATCTTTTATTATAACAATTTGTTTAATATTAACAAATCCTCAACCCATCATTAATAAAAAAATATTATTAAATTTTATTGTTCTAATATTTAATAATAATGAAATCTATTTTAACAATTTTATTGATATCTTAATTAATAATAACAAAATTAAATTAAATAATTAAAAAATAAAAGAAATTTGTAATATTTTATAATAAAATCACATCAACTAATAAAAGTTGTATAAATTTTTATGACAAGAAAAAGTTGTATAAATTTTTATGACAAGAAAAATTATTGGTAAAATAAATAAAAGAACAAATGATAAAAGTGTAAAATAATTAATGAGAAAAAAGCTATGAGTGTCATTAATAGGTGAGAGAGAAAGAGTAAAAATTGTAAAGTAAATATTAAAAACAAAGAATTAATAAACAAAGAAATAATAAAATGCGATTAGTTAGAAAGTTATAGATCTCATTCATAGATAAGAAAGAACAAATAAAGTAATTATTAAAAATGTGTTGGGCCTTATTGAGATTGAGATAGGGGAAGAATCTTATTAAACTTTTTTAGGGGAGTGATTCCTAAGTTTGAGATAGGTTCTACATTGATCTCCATTCCTATAATTTAGTAAACACGATGAAAGGTTTTAACTACCGTTACTTGATTTCCATTTCTTTGAAAGTCTGATTGTTTGTTTAATTGATTAAGGTATATGATCAAAAGTTAAAGATTAAAAAAAAATAATAAAAAAATAAAAAATAAAAAAAAAAAAGTTGACCACTTGAATTACATTTCATATAGGTGAAAATTAATCTTTTATGTTAAAGTACTTCTTACCCTATTTTTTCATTAAGTTTATGAGATCTCTTATTACTAGAGGGATACATAACAAAATTCAACATACATTAAAATAATGTACATGTATACGACATGCTATTTCGAGAAGAAAGATCTTTGTAGGATTAATGATATTTCTCCCTGGGTCTTCATCGAGATTTTAGTACTATTTCTTTCTTCAAAATTAGATATTTAATAAAATGAACTCTACAGCGTGACGTTTTGTATTAATAACTTGAAGGTGTATGCAAGAAATCATATTATTAATTGATATATAATATTTCTCTCTTTGGTACCATCTTTTCAAAATGCAGCAACAAAATAACTTATCAAACCGAGTGTCTCTGTTACTACGTCGTCTTTTATCAATGATAGACGACGTATGGGAAGTTTGAAAAAATATACAAAAACTAACAATGTAATTTTCACCCTTATAGTATTTAAGAAAATGGTTGAATTGAATGAATTGGGTGTTGTTATATCATTATCAGAAAGAATTGAGAGATTTTAGAAGGAATACAGAGAATTGAATGCAAATGGTAATTGTATGTATCACTAAAATAAATGCATGATGGTAAGATTGAATGGGTGGTGTTGAGTGATTGATTTGTACAAAGATTTGAGGCCTCATATTTTGAAGATCCTTTTCCCTTTCACCACTCACACTGAAACTAATAATTTTCCCAGTTGCTGCCTTCATGTGTTGGGCGATTCTGACTTTGATATTGATTAGTTTCCATGTTAGATTTTGAAATATTGTACATGGAATTAAGATGAGAGAGAATTCTAGAGAGAGAGTTAATAATGTTGAGTAGATACAAATGAAGGGTACTAGAAGTTGGTAGGAGAGGTAGCTTGGTGTTGAGGTGGAAATAAATGATTCGTCTGCCACAACGGTAGCTTTATCTCATCACTTGACCCGAAAGCTAAAGGTCGGCTTAAGTACAGGTCAAGCTCAATCCAAACTCGATTCAATGTCAACGTATGACGTCTGGCCTAGTTTAGTCCATTTATAAATTGGATTGAATATAATTTGTTTTTTAAATCAAGGACAATGTCATATTTAAATTAAGCCATTGAGTCAGCTCAAGCTGATCCAATGTAATAAAAAAACATAATAATATGTTAATGTATAATTAATTAGTGTTGAATGTTATTATTTATTGTCATTTTCATTCCTCTAAGATTAATATGGTAATACAATTTATTTATTTAAAAATAAGATATCTTAAATTGTAAAAATATAATATAACACAATTTATTGATAATTAAAAAAAAGTAAAATAAATAAATAAACAAACAAATTTCTAAACCTAAAAACTTAGTTCGAAAAAATATTTAAAATATAATTTATTATATGACCTAATTTAAGTTAGATTTACTCCCACCCATTGAGTTAGGCCATGTATGGCTTTGAATCCAAGTTTTAGTAGTTGACCCGACCTAAGTCCGATTCAAACAATACTTCAGACTCCTAAAACTTAGACCTTAGACCTTTGATTTTTTAGGTTAGACCGAGTCGAGTCGAACCAATTATGACGATAGACGTTGGTAGTGTAACTAGAATTGATAAAACTTTCAATTACTACAAGGTACCAAATACTACTCCTTTCTGTTCACATTATTTTTAATATATACACCATGAAGTCAACGGAAGAAATCATAACCAAATAGGTCAATGTTGTAGGGCTTATTGCGATTTTATTATGCTGAAAATTTTTGTAGCGCACTGTATCTCCTCGTTAAATTTTATTTTTTTCTGGAATGAAAATAAAGTTTTATATTATCTAAGCGAACTTAGATAACATATATCCATAAATAAATCGAATGGTTGTCGGGTTACTTTTATCTTTATAATAAAAGAATTTTTTTTTTTCACATAATACTTAACTTTATATTATTTAAATAATTTAATGTAATGCCAATATAAACTCAATTCAGCCCTAATTGATACTTATCTTTGATTAAGAAGTCATAAATTCAAAGTTCGTACCCCACACAAATATGACGTGTCAGTTTTCATTGAAATGACATTGATTTAAAAAAAAACCGAAAAAGTTAATGAGTAGTCCATTTGGTCATCCCAATTTTAGAATTAAATGACATTGATTAAGAACAAAAAAAAAAAGGAAAAACCAAAAAAATTCAAAATAATAATAATAATAATAATAATGTCAATGATGCATGTTAAGAATGTCTGGAAAAAAATAAATCCAATGATGAATTTTACTTAAAAAACGAACTAACAATAATGATCTAAAAATGGTGTATAAAATATAGGATAAAAAATAGTGTCAGAAAAAAAAAATGAAAAGAAAATATTGGTATAGAGAAATCATAAGTTAATATACAATTATGGAATGAAAAATATTTAATTGTTTAATTAATATAGATTACTTTTTGAAAAATAATCCTTCACTAATGATAATGAATATAAATTTTATCAGAAAAAAATAACATAACAAATATAATAAGAGGATATTTAAGAAAGTAATCTAAAGACAAAAGGTTCTCCCTTAAAGTTAAATTTGTTCATGTAGATAATATTGAAGATGGACATTGGTGAAGGGAGAACTTAATTGATAATCCTAATCTCAACACAAAATTATGCATAAGGACCAATTTTGAGTGTTCATTTTTCAAAATATCTTGACCTATTAACTTCAGCCTTGAACTCAAATATCCAAAATTCTAATAATTGGACTTAAAGATCATGACTTATTAATTAATGTACACGTACTTTCTTGAGGCAACTAGAGAAATAACTATATTAAATAGAACGATTTGAAAAATAGTCGAAACTATCTAATATTGTAAAAATGGCTATCATTCCATTGTACAATTTAAATTGGACAAAAATACCTTTAAATAAGTTGGCAAATATTATACTTTTTCTGTTGGTGATAAATATACCCTGAACTAACCAGTACGTGGATTTTAGGAAAAAAAACTTACAAATAACTATACAGAATCAAACTTTTTATTATTTGAAATTGTAAATTTAAGGAAAAAAACTAGAGGATTACATTCTTTGAACTTCGAGATTTGGAAAAAAAAAATCAAACTTATAAAATCAATTATTTAGACTCATGAAATTAGGAGAAAAAAAAACTATCAAAGGCTAAATTAAGTTGTAGTAGAGAAAATTAGAATGAAAATATGGATGGAGCAATCAATATCGTAGCATTATTGTTTCAAAAAATATATATTATGGCAGTATTAACTCACCCTCTCCAAATGCAATAGGGCACGTAGAGATTGAAAAACAGATAAGAGTAGAAAATGTTCTCTCTTTTTGAATTTTAATTTTTCGAAAACTATTCATATTCATAAACGAATCCGAGATTAAATTTTATAATTTTAATTTATTGTGGTTATAAAATTTTCTTTCCTTCTTTTCTTTTCTTTCTTTTTTTTTAAACGCATCATTGAAATCTTAAATAATTTATAACGTAAAATTTAAAGGATTATTAATTTATGGGAAAACTCATTTTTAACTATATCCATAGTTCAATGTGTCAATTTAAAATTTCAATTTTCAATCCTATCAAATTGAAACCTATTAAGTAAGGTAATCAACACATTCTCCATTACAGCCAACATTCTCCATTACAAATTTTCCAAAAGAGAGCAAATAACAATAATAATAATAATAATTTGTACAAATAGCACTCACTTTACAATTTTGCAAAAATAGCAAAATCGGGAGGCTAAACCCACGCTATTAAAGCAAAAAAGTCCAATAAACATGGAGCCTAAATAGTGATTTACATGATATATACACCTAATTTAATAATTTATTGATATACTTGACCATGAGTACTAATACACTAAACATATATTTGATATAAATGTTGATATACCATCGATATCTTGATATACTACTTCTCTTCGTTGTATTCACTTTTTCTTATTGAATTATGCAGTGTCATTTATATATGATATGAATTTTTATACACCAGATTTGTTATATTACTTAAGAAGTATGATATACCAACGATACATCTGATATACTTGATATGAATATTGCTATATCAATAATATACTTATACTATTGATGTACCTAACAATCTAAAAGGATAAAATCGAAATAACTAAAAAATCAAAAATCAAATTTAAAATATTCGGTCATATTTAAAAAACCGAAAAGTTGGTGCTATAATTGCAAATATTTTAGTTACCATTACAAGTTTTTCAAAATCAAATTGGACAAAATACTTAAATTAAAGTCTATGGTAGAGAGTCTTATTCAACTGTAACAACATTTATCCTTAGCCATAGATTTTTTTTTAACAAAAAAAAAATATATTCAAAGATACAGGAGTACTAACGAGTTTATGGTTTAATTCCACTCAAAATCGAGTCATTAATTGGATTAAGTAGAGATAAAAAGGACAAAAAAAAGATTCCCACAAATTTCTGAGTGTTTTAAAATTCAATCTCTATTTTTTTTCTGAGTGAAACTGTAGTTAGTTTACCAGCTCATATTGCTTTGGTGCAGTTTTCTTTTTTGTTTTTGTTTTTTTGTTTTTACACTTTTCTAGTAAAAAAAAACACAGCGAAATTACAGACAGAATAAGTTGTCCCTGTCCGCAGTCAATCAGATCCCTTTTTTAATTATTCTTATTTTGACTGTGTTTATCACCTGAGACAGAAACGCCGCCGTTCGCCTCCATTCTGTCCGCATCTGAGGGGTTAAACGGTGCCGTTTTTGTTTATCAAATTTATATTTTTTTTTCTTTTTTTCTTTTTCCTTTTGTTTATAAGTGCATGCAAATAAAACGGAATTTCAACGGCCACGCCTCCATTTTCCTCTAACGAAACGACAAAGTTCATTCCCAG